AAGAAGTCGTTTGAAGTTTTTGACATATTTGACCCCTGTGACCTTGAAAACAGGTCAAGGTCATTTTCGTTCTCAAACTTTGTAGGGCTCCTACCAACGAAGCTTTCAGCCAAATATCATGACTCTAGGCCTGTCCGTTCTTCAGAAGAAGTTGTTTAAAGGAAAAGTTGACGGACGAGGACGGACGGACGGACGGACGGACGGACGCCGCGCCACGGCATAAGCTCACTTGGCACGAAGTGCCAAGTGAGCTAAAAACAAGGCAGTCTAATAATAGCAGTGTTGAAATTTTCCGATGGTCCCATATATATATATGATAGCGGTGACAAAATTCTGACACTGAGTCTAGAAACATAATAGAGGTGACAAAATTCTGTGACATTGAGTCTATTAACATAATAGAGGTGACAAAATTCTGTGATACTGAGTCTAGTAACATAATAGAGGTGATAAAATGTTGTGACACTGAGTCTAGTAACATAATAGAGGTGACAACATTATGTGACATTGAGTCTGTTAACATAATAGAGGTGATAAAGTATTGTGACACTGAGTCTAGTAATATAATATAGGTGACACAATTATGTGACACTGAGTCTAGTAACCTAATAGAGGTGACAAAAGTCTGTGACACTGAGTCTAGTAACATAATAGAGGTGACAAAATTCTGTGACACTGAGTCTAGTAACATAGTAGGTGACAAAATTCTGTGACATTGAGTCTGTTAACATAATAGAGGTGACAAAATTCTGTGATACTGAGTCTAGTAACATAATAGAGGTGACGAAATTCTGTGACATTGAGTCTGTTAACATAATAGAGGCGATGAAATTCTGTGACATTGAGTCTAGTAACATAATAGAGGTGATAAAGTGTTGTGACACTGAGTCTAGAAACATAATAGAGGTGACGAAATTCTGTGACACTGAGTCTAGTAACATAATAGAAGTGATGAAATGTTGTGACACTGAGTCTAGTAATATAATAGAGGTGATAAAATGTTGTGACACTTGAGTCTAGTAACATAGTACTGGTGACAAAATTCTGTGACACTGAGTCAAGTAACATAATAGAGGTGACAAAAATGTGTGACTTTTGATGCAGCCTTATTTATCTTGTCAAATCAACCTGGTCGTCCCACTTTACAAGAAATGTCGCTTTTATTGTTCTTGCAAATCACTCTTATAATTCCGTTTTTCACCAAATGTTGGTTACTCAGGCATTCTGGTGACTCACGAACCATGTTCAGATAATACATTCATTGTAACATTCATGGCTAGGCAGGAGTTATTGTCATTTAACATTTTCAATATGTATGTTTATCTAACAAACTGCTTAATAATATAACACACAAGTTCCTGGTCCTGAAATATTTACAAAAGGACTATCTAATCTACCTCTTTTTATAGCTTCAACAGAATTTTGCCAATTTCTGTAATAAATAACTTCATTATAGGAGCTCAGAAAACATGCCCTACAGGAAATAATGATCTCATTATGTGAACAGTGATCATGACAATTTAAGGATCCCTGTGCCACTGCCAGCTAGTACACCTTAATTTACCCTTTCACCACTGTAGACGACATTAGACTCATCCAGATCAATGCATGGGAGAGTCTACTAAAGTTGCATAGGGGTGAAAGGGTTAATTAATGCGTAATGGAACTGATTTTTCTGGTATCACTATAGAGTTTTGATAAATCCTTTATGAAAAAAAAATACACCTTGCAAGACTTCTGTGAACAAATAATAGAGATAAAATAAACAAATAATAATCAATAATAGTGAGTGTAAATATAAAGAGTGGCTAGAATAGGATTTGAACCCTGAACCTTGACTTGGTGTACGATCACTCCAAACTAGCTAGCTGGTCAACAGTAGTCCCCCACCCCTTTGAGCTACAGTGATATCAATAGTGAGATGAAGGGGAGGTTACTCTAGTTAAGAAGTACCACTGTGGAATTCCGCAGTGTTTTGCCTGCTTTGGGACAGGAATCCTCAAAGTTTTCACAGCAGGAGATTGAAAGTAATCATGTATATGGGAAGAGTAATTACATCATTACTCATTTCAGGTAGACAACACTTCAAATTTCCAAACTAAAACACTGACAGGTCAGTAAGGGCCCCGTCTTGTAGCAATATATACCCCATAATCATCAAGAAGCAATCTCCCCATATAGCTGAGCTTGACGTTTGACATTTAGACTTCAAAAAGAATTATACATTTAATGTAAATACTGGTGCAATACTCATTTGTTAGCTTTGATTTGTTGTATTTCACCTTATATACCTCCTCCATCAAGAGCCAAGGTCAAAGTCAGAGATCCACATTGTCTTTGACCTTTGGACCCAAAAGACCTTGACCATAAACCCAATGACCCTGATCTTTGGTCAGTTGACTTATTTTTTAATTCCGACCAACTTTGCTTCTTAATATCATAACAAAATGTTCATCAGTGAAAAATACAAAACTTGACCTTGACCCTTTGCACCCCGTAACCTGGACCTAAGATCAGTTGACTCTGTTTTAAGTTCTGAATAACATTGCTTCATAATGTCATAACAAAATGTTCATCAGGGAAAAGGTACAAAATTTAACCTTCACCTTTAACCCAGTGACCTTGACCTTCTGAGCAACATTGCTTCAAAGTGTCATAGCGAAATGTTCACCAGTGAAATGATACAAAATTTAACCTTGACCTTTGACCCAATGACCTTGACCTTTGGTCAGTTGACTCCTTGTTTAATTCTGATCAACTTTGCTTCATATTATCATAAAAAAATGTTCATCAGTGAAAAGATGTAAAATTTGACCTTGACCTTTGAACCTTATGACCTTGACCTTTGACCTTGAGTATTTACCTTAATGTGTATTTTTGTGAACTGAACATCTTGACCAAGTTTCATGTACATCGGTCAATTAATACCAAAGTTATCAGCCAGGAACAAAATTTGTGGATGGACAGACAGACAGACAAGACAGACAGATTTGTGGATGGACAGACAGACAGACAAGACAGACAGACAGAGTGATTACTATAGGGCACCCGTATCTCTGATACGGGGCCCAAATTAACGTATATTGTAGATACTATCCCTTGCCATTCATATGTTTTACTATTGAAAATTCTATTTCAGTGGAAGTTAATTTATCTATCAGGAGACAGGGAGCTACAATATGGTAAACCAAGGTACAGCAAAACATATAGACATTATAAGACTCAAAAAACAGAAATAATCTATAAAAATTCTATCAAATTTTATGTAAATCACATGCTGAAGTGTTCAACAGTGGTCATTTCCACTTCCAAAATTATCAATGAGGGAGAAAGTACATGAAACGCCACTGAAACTGCTTTGCTTCATTTACTTTTCCCTTCTATGTATCAAATTAACTCTAAAAAGCATTCAATTGATTCAGGCACACCTGTTATGATCATTACATACACCCTGCAGTAACCTAGGAGATCATTTAACCACAGGATGTAGATTTTGAGTTTGTGTGAGTTTGGACTTAAATGAAGGAGTTTTGTGGGAGATTGGTAAATTTTGTCAAATTGAGGGAGTCGCCCTTCTAATGAAGGAGGGTTGATTAATATAATCTTCCCCTACCCTGAGGGTGTGACATAGAAATCTCCAACCCGAGAGGTGA